AGGCAGCAGGGCTCTCGGGCGCGCTGCACAAACCGCACAAACGCTCCCAGGGCAGTGGCCTCGCTCGCCCCGAATAACTCAGCCAGCACACCCATGCTGCTTTTCGGCACAAAGGAGACCCAGCTCGTTCCCACAGCAAAGCTCCCTTCAGCTCAAAGAGAGAGAAAACTTAACAAGGAAATAAAAAGTTGTTCACATTAATGTCTTATTTCGGAGAACACTCCCTGCTTATAGAGTAAGTGAGCAAAAAAATGGCATTTGCATTCTTAGGAAACAATGCCTGTGCACAGTTTGCAATGTTTCAGATTCATTCTTTGGAAACAATTTGTGTGATTTATTCTGTTTTGCTTCAAGCGTGATTCTGTTTTTCTTCAGGGCTGCTTGGGGTGTGTGGTTTGACACTCAGCTTGTCAGTTTAGCATTGTGAGATTGTGAGTTTTTTGAAGAGGGCACATCTGTGGTTATAGAAGAATAACAAGAAGCATCAGATGTTCAGAGAACAAAAAAAGCAGAGCTTGGGAGGATCTTAGAAATGAATACTTAGCAGAGATGACATATATGTGACCCAGAGCTCTAGAGGGCTAATGTGGTATCTGTAAAATCACTTATTTTTCAAGTTTTCAAATTCTCTTAATTATCTTAATAAGGAACAAACACTTTAACTACATTTCTAGTTGTGACATTTTTTAAGCCAAGGATCTTAAACAGCAAAAGTATCTATTTTTTTTTTAAATTTACTGAGAACCCATAGTTCAGGAAAAAAAAAAAAAGTACTCTTCAGTACTCAAAAAAGCTTTTAAGCACTAAAACTACTGAGAGCAGAAGGAAATGTTGGGATTGCAGCTTTCTCCCCTGTATTCCCAAGACTGCTTGGGAAAAATTAAGTTAGATGGACATTTAACCAGCCTTTGTGCAAGAAGGAGTCAAGTTGAACTGCAGAGGGTGTAGGCTTATGCAGGAAACAGTGAACTGGATCTAAACCTTGTTCAAAAATCAACAGCCAAACTGTTTTCAACAGTGTCTGCCTTTCTTAAAGTGCAATTATTATTCTAGCTTAACCACCCACATTGTTATCAAAGGACCATAGTATTTTAAAAGTTCTTTTTAAATATTTTTTAATATTTCTCTCCCATACTGATGTGAATTCTCCTTCTCTTTTCTGGCTATGCAGGTAAAAATACTACACCAATACAACTTTGCTTGCACTTTCTCAGCAAAGTGTTTTTAATGGATCACATGCTTTGAGACCATGTCTGCAATCTGAAACTTTTGAACAAGAAGTGCAGAAGTTAGTAATTATCTTAATGAATTCTGTGCTAAAGTGATGTTCACCATTTAACTGCTGAAGTAATGTACCTACACTCTGAAATACAGCCAGCCTTGCTAAATCAGTACTAGCCACACATTTGCAACCATTTATTCTATTTATTAAATGACCAAATCAGAAGTGTCTGCAAAAGCTTTTCCCCTGACTCTGGATAGCACTTGCAGTACTGAGGTGTTTACGGAAAATCCTGCTTAGTGGCAAATCCTGATTAGGAAACGTTATCATTTTTCTGCATAATAGGTGAGATAGGCATGCCTAACATATGGTTGCTATAAAATACCTTAGATGAGTCAGATCTTAGCTGACAGCTGTAAGCAGGATTGCTGTGGCTTCTTAGATAATACTACCAATTATGGTCCTTTTTGTTATTTAACTACTGTACTGGTAAATTATATTCACCTGATTTGTAGACACTCCTGTTTGAGTAGAACAAAAAGGCAAGATTTATGATGTAAATCCTGATCTAATGTTTGCAGCTTATTAAAGCTGTATCCAAAGTCCTTCAAGCTCTCTGTAGTGATGACTAATTCTAACCTAATTGTAGGACTCCTCAGGAAGCTGCTGCTGCCCCACTAAGTGTTCAATTCAGCTACGTACACCATGAAATTTAAGAAGGTAAAAAGTCCAGAAATGGAACTGATTTGATGATGCAGGATGTACCAGTAGCCCCAGTGGCTTTGTGCTCTGATCCTTGCATGCAGCTCCCACAGGTATCACAGTGTGCAAAAATGTACTGAAGAGTTTGCCTTTAAAGTACAGACTACTGCAGTGTCCTGGGCACGGACTTCCCAGCAGGGACTTTGCCTTAGAACCTGTGCTTCTGCTCTGGCCTGTTGTTGGAGAGGGGCTCTTGGAGCTCTTGTCTTGAGGGAACTGCAGGGTAGCCAACAAACAGGGGGACAGCTGCAGTGTACAGGGCCACACTTACTGCACTGTTGTCACTGATTAGCCTTACCAAGTCTAGGAGCTTAGTCTACACATTCAATCCTCATAGCAAAGTTTATCTATTTTCTTCAGAACTCCAGCTTGCACTTTGCTCTACTCTACAGCTGCAAGCAGCTCAGGGGGAATGACTTTATCACACATGTCCATCCATTGCTCAGAGGCTCATCTGCTTTCCCTGGCTTTTTGGAACCAGAGAGCCTAAATGAGGAATGCTAAATGAGAGCCACCTGAAGATATGTGTTTCCCACACACATCCCCCCACCTCCCCAAATCCTCTGTAGCACCACAAATGCCACAGCTCATGTTCTACAGCACCTTCTGTGCAGAGAAGTGCTTTCAAGATGAAGAGTCACAAAAAGAAAGTTGACAAGAGGAAAAGTCTGCACCAATATTACTTTCCGCCTTTGCTAATGGAAGGCACACCCACTTCCTTTGACTCTAATCAGAGGAGGGCTGGCTGTCAGGTGGTAGAGATACACAGTTGAGAAACAAGAGGTCTTTATAGTTAGGTGCCTAGCCCTACCTTGTATACCATCTGCTTCCAATGGAAACTTAAGACTTGCCAAAAGGAGAGGCTGAGTCTGTGTTTTCAATATTTAATGCTCACTGGAAATGACAGTTCAGCATTACCTGCTGTCCCAGTGAGATCAAGCTAAACCTCACCCACAGTACTGTGTGTTCACATGCAATTGCAGAAATAAACAGTAAGTATGGAAAACTTAGAGGCAAACTCTTGAACTAGAGTGTAACCCTATTTCAACATAGGGGCATTGTTTTGATTTCCCTAAAGACTGCCACTCACTTCAATTCTTTTGGTGTTAACTCTTATACGTTAAGAAAAAATTGTGTGAAGTAGTAGCCATCAAAATAAGTGAATAATAGGATCAGATTGCTTAGAAACTCCCCACTGTGCAGGGCCAGGGCCCCCTTCAGTTTTGTGCACACTCTACTACAAATTACTCCAGGGAGAGCCAGTCTACTGTGTCAGCATTCTCAGCTGACTTTTCTGCTTTCTTTCCCCCATGAGGGAACAGGAGCTGAGACATTACTACCATCCATTTCATAAATGCACTAAGGTAAGATTTGAAGACCCTAAATTTAAGAGCATCAGTTCTCTCTGAAGCAGATGAAGATAGGCAGGTACCTAAGTTTGGATGCCTAAATTTAGATGGTATGAGTATTGCTTTCCCCTTGTCTCTTCCTTTTTCTTCTCTCTGATGTGCTAGTCCTTTTTTTCTCAGCAGTTAAAAGAGACATGTCCAGCTGAGCTGCTCATCCCCTCCTGCACTTTGTAGAGTCCAGGTTCTCTCAAACTAGGGGGAGAAGGGTAGGGCATGGAACATCAAGATTCACCAAACTGTCATTTTCCCCCTAAAACCACAACAGATGTCTCACTTTTAAGCTACTCACTGAGACTGAAGAGTGAAAATACAGGTGACTCTTGTATGTGTTGTGTGGACAAGGCCTGTGAGGCCCCAGACACATCTCATGCATGTACCAGCATCTTGTTGCTCCCTGCATCTCCCTTTGAAAGACAGGGTGGATCAAAATTTCCAGCCCTGGGTTTGGACAGCAGCAGAGCCCTGTCAGTTATGCTGAGGAACTTTTTTGTTTTGATAGTTTTAAATTAAATAAATCAGGCTCTTTTCTGCTTGTTTAATGTAGGATTTTGCATTACCATGTCTAGCTTGATTTGCAAACTTCACACAGATTCAAGGTAATCTCTTCAAAAACCTGAACATGTATGGGTTACATTATGACTTTTCTACTTTTCTGAAATGGTGAACATCAAATGAACCACTCTGACTCCTCTTTTTCTCTCCAAAATGCAAGAAAAGTCACTAAGCATGGTTAATGGGCAAAAATAATCAGACGGCAGCAGTGTAGGTCTCTGTGCTAGGAGATTCAGTATTACAGAGTGCATTGCTTACACTGAGAGCATTTACCAGACTGTGAACTGAACTTTGGTGTGAGAATAGACACAAAAGTCTTTCCATCAGCCTCTTTGGCCAGCATAAAGTCTGCTTCGAATAATGTTGAGAAAATGTGACTCTGTGTAAGTGCTTGTTCTCTTCCTGAGATTATTTCATTACAGCTATGGAAATCTTGGTAAGAAATCCATTCTGTGACATGCAGGTATGTGTCACACATTCCTCCTTTGAGGCAGAACAGCTGCAACAGCATGAAGCAAACTTTGCTTCAAGCTTTAAACTAAGTTGTTCTTCTGTTCTTTACTAAATCAATTATATATGTCAGGGAAAAAAAAAGGCACAATTTAAGTCTGGTTTCCTTCCCACTCCCCTGCTATTAAAAGAAACACATCCTACTCCAATGCTGGCCATGGACCAGACAGTGCTGGATGCTTTACATGGTTATGGCAGTGGACTTCTGAGACTTTACGCTGCTTATCATCTAAGGGGCTAATGGCTTTGCCAAGTTATGCCCCTTTGACAGAGCTGTTCAGAAATAGAGGCTTCTATCCCATTTCCCCTAACCCCAGATCCATGATGTCTCTCCACACCTGCACCTGCAGCTCAGAAGTCAGTCACTGCAATTTAGTGTATCTGAGATAAGGCTGAAACCACCACTGACCCAAATGTCAACTGCTCTCATCTGTTTAACTTACACAGAAGGAAAAACAGTAAGCACAGAAACAAGGCCACAAGGAAACAATCTGTCTGCCAACATAAGCAAAAAGAGAAGGGGCAGAACAACACCAAAAACCAGCTGCATTATCTTCTGTATTATCTTCTGAAGGACAGATAGTTGTGACAGAAATTTGCTTTAAGATAAAAAATTATATCTAGATTTGACCATTTCTAAGCAGTTAGGCTGTTACAAAGCATGCTCATAAGAAAACTACGTAAATGAACTGAATTTTTGGTATTTGAGTTGTGATTTTTATACAGCAGTTAAGGCTGAGAGTTTTGAAAGATCTTTTTGGGATGAGTCTATAGCCTCTCTCCTATTCAAAAGTATTGGGTACATATGTATACTTTCTGCATTTATTTACATGTGTGTTATGTCTAACAGAGATGAAATCATTACAAGGAAGTGAAGAATATCCCTTCAGGGTGTTCCCAGCATACCACAGAATGTTCTTCTGCACTCATGCTATTTTGTTCTTGTAGGGCAAGGAAAAGACTGAGGGAGCTTACTACACAGCAGTGAAAGAAGAGATGCAAAACTCCTGAAAGCTGACTTTTTTGAGCTGCTGAGGCAGACAGTAAAAGCAGTTATAGTGAACCCTGATAGAGAGCCTGCAACCTATTCATTCTTATTACAAGATTATACATTTCCTACACAGTAGGGGCTGAAGACCAAGCCTAAAAATAACTACAAAAAAATCACACCACTAAACTGACAGGAAGTGTAAAAACTTTCCAAATGAGAGCCATCAAACCTGATGAAACACAGTCACATTCCTGCTATGATGTACACTTGTGATGCCTTCTAGGTGTACTCTGTACGGCAGAACTGTTATGAGGCAATCTGTGCCCCAAGGTAAACATGCTTGGAACAGAATAATGGCTTGCTCAGAATCTACTGGCTAAAAACAGAAATTCAGTCAACTTCCAAAATCAGAAGTGAACAGATATAAATTCAAGGTTTAAGTTCTGCTCAGAGTACCATACCTATTACTCAGTCTTCTACAGAAGTTTATCTTTTGGTGAGGTCTTGACCCTTCTCTCCATATGTATCAAGTAAACTTTTCCATCATGGTACAAAACCAATGTACCATCTATCCAGTAACTCTTATAAATTTTGAATCAGACACTCTGATTGTAATGGGTATTTTCCTCCCTATTACATAAAAAAAATGCATAGCTGTAACTCTGCATTCAGCATTATCCTAATTCTAAATTGTTGCTTTTACAACTTACACTGAAAGTAACTTCCCATTACAATGTAAATTTGGAAAAATCTTTGCCTAAATAAAGTCTACTGCTCAGTGAAGCTTCCATGACAAAGCTGCATGAGTTTGTGTGTGTTGGGGGAATCTACACACATTTACTCTGATTATCATGAAGGAACTACACAGCAGTGAACTACTTAAGTCTAGAGTTCCTTTCTGGTGTCCAATTACAGAAGCAAACCAAAGGAATAAACTTTGGTTTTTTAAATGGAGTGAATGTGTAGCAGCCCTGGTAAGGCTTGTGTCACCTAGAGCTGGCATTTGCTGCAGACTAAGCACTGTCAGTTACAACTTTCTTCTCAAGTCTCTCAAAGTACAGTCTCCTATGAACTGAGAACTATGCAATAAAACATGGAATCATTAAGAATATTAGTGGATAGTTTTAAGGCGCCATTTATAATCACTTAGTGACAGAAGCTATTCCAAACATACTCAGCCTAAATAACTCTCTGAAATGAAATGACTACTGCAAGCAAAGCATTTTTAGTTATTAAAATATGTTTAGGAAGTCCAAATTAGTAACAACTAGAGTCTGTTTAAAAAGAACTTTTACACAAGTTCAAAGACCACCCCTTTTCTTAGAAGTAGCAAGACAAACAGGCTATGGATCAGACACATTTGTGTACTGTAGTCATCATTCCTAAAGGTTCCTGCTCCATGCACGAGGGCAACTGGAAAAACGTCAGCAGCACTGCTCTTACCATCGGAGGCTCACATGCTTTTCCCCCTCTTTCCCTGATGCCTGTAGACAAACTTTGACTGAAAGTTCCCAAACCAAGAAAGACCAAACCAATCCAAATTCCTTTCTACTGTTTTAAGCACTTTTCAGATGATCCATATTTTAACTTGTCTTCATACCTTGAACAACTGCGGTTAGTCAGCTTCTTCGCAAGACTGCAAAATTCTTACCCGTGGGAAGGAAATGAAAAAGCAGAAATGCAAGTACTACAATTCATACTAAATTTCATTTTTCATTTTAAAAAGTTCAAACAACTGAAGGTGTTCTTTTGTTCTCTGTGCAACTATTTCAGGTAGTAGGAGATGCTAAGATGATCATGTTATTCAGTGGGGAACAAAGGAGTGAGATCAGTAATGATATCATAATCTATATTCATTAAATCAGTTCAGTATTATCAACATAAGGTATTTGCTCTTAAATTTTTTGGCCTACCTGGAATGGAAAATGTAATCTCAACATCATGCAAAAAATACGCAGCTCTTAATTTCATATCACAAAATGGAACATAACAATTCCATTGTAATAATTAAAAAAAACCTGCTGAGTCTTAGCCATTGTAGCCACACAGAATATTTTTTTTTTAATAAACTGTGGTAGTAAAAATTCCTCAAAATTGCAGTAAACCAACCATACATTATCAAAAGATAAGTGTGACAAGTAAGTAGCTGGCATTTACTGGAAATTATTTACATTTTATTGTAAGTGACAAAATGATGACACTCATTTCCATACCAAACATATTTCTTTACTTTAAAATGTGCTTCACACATTTTCTGCTCCAGCTGATACAATCTGTAGTTACTGTACATACTTACAAAATGCTGAACATTAAACCTGTGGTTAACCAGCTTGGTTTTAAGACACACAAAGTAGCTTGAAGTTGACTGACCATTCAAGTTGTCAGTCCATTCTAAATATTCTTGTTAAACTTTCCAGATCTTCATTTTTGAAATGCAGCTCTTCCAGTAATGTGGTCAGGAACTGTGTGTACATTGGGCTTGTCTGAGTATTCTTGAAAAGTGGAGTTGTTTGTGACAATCTGGAAAAAACCCAAACATATTTCATACAGTAAAGCAACTTTTGAGTGGCAGATGTTAGAAAGCAAAGCTTGTGAGTTCAAACTGTATTGAAGAAAAGCAGTTTATAATGTCACATTTGATTAATTACACTATATAATAGACTGTATGTATGATATACAATATGAGCTGTACCAAAATATGATTTATTAGTATGTAGTAAATAAAAAAACTAATTGGAAAAAATGAGAGTAGTTTGTATGCCTCTAATTAATTGTACATAGAGGTTATATAATGTACACAGATGCCAAAATAAACAAAGTGCAGAATGTACAATTAGACATATAAAAGGAAGCATCCCAGTCATTACTTTTTTCTTTACCCAAAAGCTCATAAACAGTCACACAGTGAAAGTTATATACTTCATCATATGACTAAAATATAAAAGGGATATAAAATTCCTCAGTTTTGAAGGAGCTACCACTATGCAGATCACCTACATATATAATATCTATATGCAGATGAGCTGAAATACTGAACTGTTTGTTCCTATTTACCCTTTAATTTATCTGAATGTATTTTTATCCTGAAGTCCTTCCTTTTTCTTCTAATTCTATTGCCAAATATTGCAAAGGTAGTAATAGCTGAATCTACTTCCTAAGCCCAAATATTAAAATCTTTAATGAACAAAATCAAGTACTAAAGCTTATGCTGAATGTTAAGAAACTGTAACACCAAAGATTACTGACAAGATCACTTAACAAGAACTCCTATCCCAGCAAAAGTTACTTTGTCCCAAATACTGTAAATAAACAGTGCCATTGACACCATACACAAAAGAGTTATTTTAGAACACATTTGTGCAACTTTTAATAAGAAATTCAAGACAGTCTGCAGCTTCCTGAAAACTTCCCAGCTCAGGAAGTCTTCAAGTGAGTAACAACTGAGATCAATCTCCCTGCAGTCACTGGTATTAAGACCACCTCCACTTAAAAAAAGTGCATATCAGAGAAATTCTTTTAAATTAAGCAAAAAGAGTGATAAAACACAAAGAAAGGACCTTACAAGACACAGTAAATAAGAAACCCTTAATAAAAAAATAAATTTACCAAAAAATTGAATGAAAAAATATTTAACTTTGAATGTGTTAAAATTACTTCCCATTTCTTTGTGGATTGCATTTCAGTGTGTACATTAGCTGAAGAGTTCAGCTCTCAAACTCTCACACTTGGTGAGAAGGATTTTCAGAGGCGCTGAAAGCCAGGGCAAGGTGCGGAAAGAAATGACTTCTGCATAAACTCTGCTGTAAATATATAAAAGAGAAGTATTCAGAGCGGAGTTTGTGACTTTGGCCTGAGGCCGCTGGGTTTGCAATGGGACTGAGCTGTTTCTGTCCTGGGGGAGGCGCTGGGGTCGCTGCCCGGGCTGGTGAACCAGAGCGGCCCTGGCCGGGGCAGGCCGGCAGGAGGCTGCGTCTGCACGGGGACACAGCAGCGCCCATAGAGGATCGCACGGACCGCTGCAGAGTTAGGCTGGAGATGGCGGCAGGGAGACAGGACAGGCATTTCTGCCTGTCTTCAAGTCACCCTTCTCAGAATGATGCAGGTTGTATATGAAAAACACTGCTGGCAGAAACAGTCATGACTTCCTGAGTGCTGGTTCGAGGTAGCTGTAGCCCTGAAAACTACTCTCCTGGCCATGATGAAGATTTACGTGCATTTTTTACTTGAATTTTCTTAGTCCTGCCATAGGCTAAAGATATTAACAAGGACATTATTTTTCAAAAACAGCAGAAAGCTTGTGCAGTTTTAAGGATTACTCTAAAACCAAAAGGTTTATTACCATGAAGCTCATATGTTTTTTTTTTTTTTTTTTTTTTTTAGAACTGCATTTGGTGATAGTACATAGTTTCATGAATTACAAGCATGTTTTAAATGTCAGACCCTGTTTGAAAAAGGTATTGCTATTTTCAGAGAAGTTGCCAGGTATTAAATATTGAGAAATGGAAGTTAAAAAAAGTTTTAGACATGGATCAGTTTTTTTTCCTGATCTAAACTTTGTTTTAAAATTAATTAAGCTACTGGTTATCTGATAAGCAAGAGACTAAATCAACAAGTCACTTCACAGAGGCACATACAAGTTTGTAGCAATTAGTTAAAAGTTGCATCTTGATGGGGCAACGTTAAAGATTTATAAATCTATGTACAAACACTTTTCTCTTGGAAAACTGTGCCCTTTTGACCTCTAAATGATGCTTTAACTTGTCATTTGAAAAGCAGTTACCATCTAGTACTTTTCTAGTTTCAGGTGGCTGCTGCAGCAGAAGCAGAAACTTTTGTCTGGGGAAGGAGCAAGCAGAAGTTGCTGGTTTGCATGGAGTGGTAACTTACATGCTCTAAGTAACACTGCTCCAATGTATATTTGCCCAAGAGAGTATTGATGGACTGCTTAACTGAATTAAACCTTAATTGTATGCAAACAAGCCAGAACAGCATTTGGGATCAGTATCTTCAAGTCACAGAAAATTACAATGATCTTATCTCTCAAGAAACTGTGATGACTAATTCAATTTAATGACACACAGGATTTCAGTTCAAAGATTGTAGAATTCCCTTGAAAGTCTGCAGCATCTTCTACAGATGTAGAACATAAACAGGAAATAGGATACTTGGGACCACAATAATAAGAACTGGCTAGTGGACCAGTGGAAAGAAAATACAAATTTTGCTTTTCTGTTGCCCTTTTCACATGTTGCAGCATTAATCTGGAACAAACTTTTATGAATGAAGTCAAATAAAAATAAGAAAAGCTAAAGGATTAATTGATTTTAAAACAACCACCTACAGAAGTACACAATGTAAATGTTACAGTCCAAAATTACCATTTACAAATTACCAATTACACCCATTCTTCAAAGGCCTGCTTTCAGCAAGAGCTACTAAAAGGAAATGTTCATGCTCATACCATGGAAAAGTAGCATATCAGACTTGATGAGAGTGTCGTTTCCTGCACACCCACTTACACCATATGGTAAACAGGCATTTGTAACGTTTAAAAAGTGTTAGAAATGTCAAACTCTATCTGATTGATAAAATTTGTATTTGCTGGCTATTCCACATATGTTACATGTACAAGAAAAAAACCCCACTAAGGTGAAATTCATGTGAAGGATAATCAATTATAATCAAGCAATTAAAGGACATCTGGCTACCACAAAATGTTTACATAGTTTCAGTGCTTCAGCTTAAGACCCAAGCTTTCTATGAATCAGGCGCTTTACAGAAACATTTGGCAAGTATATCTAGGAGTCAAACCTCAATTATTTTTAGGAATAAGTTTCATTAATTAATACAGTAGCATGTGCATCTTGTTCATAGATCTATGCGTACCTTAATGAAGACAGCTGAATACATCCAGAAAAGAGCAAACGTTTATGTAATTTAAAGCATTAATTGGCATTTCCTATCCAGGGGTATGAATATTCTTCCTAAAAACCCAAACCAATTGTCCAGTACCATCCTTCCCCCTGCTACTGGATCTCAGGGAAAGCTTTCTGGACTTTCTGTTTAAGATGAATTTTGTGATTCCCTTTGAAAACGTAAAAAATTTTCAAAGCCACCACAGTATTACCAGTCAGTTACAGCTCTTTGAAACAGACACCTGAAAAGAGGGGTAAAAACACAACCACATAAGAGTCAGGTTCCTTTCTGCTCCTCAAAATTGGTCACTTGAAATTATACATAAATTGTTGAGACTTTGAGTGCACATAAATTGCTCCAATATCATGGAAAGCACTTATGTACTCATGATGAAAAGCCATATGTTAATTCTCAGAAGACTAACAATAAGCTCCTCCTAGAAAAGTGTAAGCATTGCCAGTCTTCCTAATTTTTTTTTTCAGTGTTAGAAGCTTGAAATAAAAGCCACTGGTTGTGGCAGAAGCTATGGATCCAAACACATTTTTTAAAGTTCTTTATGTTGTTTGACCTGCTTGGAATTTGAATAGGAACAGAAGTATAAAGAGAATGATGGAACAGGCAAGCACTACTCTCTTTCCAGAGTAAGCTTTGGAAAATAAGTTGTCTTTTTGCCAGTTACAGGTATTGAAGCACTGTGAATAAGACTCTTAACATAACCACCACAACGTAAGGGTTGGGGTTTTTTATTCTCTGTTTCTTTCTACCTTTTGTTTTTAGTAGCTTTATTTTTTAAGATCATCATAACCAGGATCATTGATAACTAGTTTTCTGTCAGAATGATGGAACTGAACTAATGAATAACCACAAAAGTTTCCTTAACACTTGTTTCAGAACACAGAAATAAAGCAAGAGCTGGCAGCACTAGAGGCAGCATTTTCCCCCTTTCCCCAATAAAACCACAGACACAGACACAGCATATGTGCTACAAGGGTGCCAGCAAATCTCTGACCAGTAGACTCTTGCTCCTGCTATAGCCATGCAGATAACCATGCCATTCTAATGGGTTCCACTGCATCAACACACAAGGGCTGGGTGTTTTGGTTTTGTGGGTTTTTTTTTTAACACTCCAAATATATTTGCACTACTCTTAAGTTACAGATCAGATGGGTGTAGCAATGCAATAAAAATGTTACTAATCAGAAATGCCTTTCTTTTAATATAGCAGTTTTATAGAACACACATTTAGATTCCATTTTAGTTATGTTCCTTTTAAGGAAGTCTCCAACAATTGATCAAACAAAAGCAACTGTTTTGTTTAAGACAACAGGCTAGGCTGACTCAATCCAACAAGTGTTACACATCAGCAATAAAACTCAGTGAATTGATGTGCATTGCAGCCCACAGACCATCTGCCTGTACATGCAGCTGTAGTGCTGCACGTATCAATCACTTATACCAGTGCTTCAGCTGATGGGGTAAACTCCAATGCTTGCTGCATTTATCCATTCCATGAATCCCTACCCAAAGGCACTCAGACATCTGGGCAGAGGAAATTGAAGCTATCATTGTAATTTTGCATGTTCTTCACAATACCTTGGCTGCTT